AGGGGCACCGCTCCTCGTCTGGAACACAGGAGCCCCTCCCCTGGTCTGCTTCATATGGAAGCCAGCGGAGGGGGTAGGGGTTCCCGAGCAGGCCGGGCTGCCTCCCATCGAGAGGCGAGCCATAGCCTGGTGGGAGCGCAACTGGAACGCCACCTGGTGCTGCCGACGTTGCCTGGTCCCCGTATGGAACATCGGTCCTGCTACCCTGGACCACATTCTTGATAGGGACTTCAGAGCGCTGCACCCAGCCGAGGCCCCTGTCCTCCCGACGCTCAACAGCCAAATAGGAGCGGAGGTGCCAGTGGACATATTCAGTTCTCTCCCATGGATAGGCGCTGACGCCAAGGCACAAGATCGCTTCGCCAAGGCTGGATCGGCAAACCTCCCTGGGTCCAGCGCCACGGGTGGAGCGGCCCCCGCTGCCGAGCGAGCCCCAAGGTCGCTAGCACAGCTCATGGAGCTCCTGCCAGAGCTGCCAGTCCCGCAGGGCCCGCTCCTGGACAACAGAGACGTCAACAACCCCACGCTGGGCCCAGACGACCCCCGGAGCGGACCGGGCAGCGGAGACGTGTCTGCACAGCGACTCCTGGTAACCTACTTCCGGGACTTCCACCCTGGACTGGACTACACTTGGCGACAGTTCTGTCTCAGTAACCGCGACAGCAGCATCCCAGAGCCTAGGAGCGAAGAAGCCTCCTGGCCGGGCGGACGTTTGACGGAGTTTCTCAGGACGGCGCACGGCGGATGCACCCCGAAGGATTGTGCCCCGCTCAACCAGCCCTGGGAAGGCAAACGGCTGGCCGCTGCACGTGTCGTCTCCCGCCTCACCAACGGCGAGAAACATAGGGAGTCCTGGGAGAAGCACGCCTCGGTCCCCGCCCCGGCGAATGGCCTCAGCCCTGTCAGACACGAAATGGGCACGCTGACGAGTTCCCTATTCAGCCTCAGCGCCGACGCCCTGGCCTCGGCGACCATCGCTTCCCTGGCCGAGTCGCACGTGCAGACCATGAGTGAGGACAGACCTAACACTCCTGCGGCGGCCGACGCAGACAAACCCCTGGGTACGAGAGACGACGACACGCGTCTTGGCAACTCGGATTTGCCCGACCACGCTGCCAAGGACGAGGGCGGTGAAGACGAGATCCCTCCTACGGGAAAGGTGGATTCACCCGACTTTGGAAACCCCCGCGAGTCTCCTCCTCCTGTATCCTGTTCGGGCTCGGCCACGGAGGTCGACGACGACGACGGCCCTGGCGACAAGGCGCCTCAACAGAGCCCAACGGCAGACAGCCTGGAACCCAGCTCTGACCGCGACCCGATAAAATGCCAGCACCGACCAAAATGCCAGCACCGACCAAAATGCCAGTGAAGCCAGGGGACCAGATCACGACAAAGTCGCCCGCGACGGGGGCGACGCGCAGAGTCGTCGTCCCCCATTACGCAACCCACAGGTTCCTGGCCATAGGCTTACCTACCCTCGTTCAGCGGAGCGACACACACTCAACCTGCTGACCGACTCACATGGGGGCCCCATGTACAAGGCCTGGCAGGGCACCGTGGACTTGGAGCGCCGCGGAGAGCCACCCGCCAAACGCCTCACCAGACACCAAATGGAGTTGGGTGGAGTATTCTGCGCTCTGTGGACCGCCTACACGCAAGGCGTACGGCTCCCTGGATCCAGGGAACCCAAGTCAGACCCGAGGCTGCACGCGGACGCGACCATCAACAAGTTTTTGGATGACTGGAAGGGCTGCGGATACAACGCCTACTTGATGGACAGGAGGTTCGACTTCCGCATCGATTGGGCCAAAGTGCGGGCCGAGTACCTACGTCACACACGGCCCGACGGCACGGGCAAGGGCAACCACCAGCAGAGCAGCTGGCGCGACCGAGCGACAAGCTCCTGGGACGCCTGGGGCACTTAGCAGAGTGACTGGAGCGCTGGCTGGCACGACGACCGTTGGCAGACGGGAGGCAAGCGTGGTGGAGGCAGGCCTGACGAACGTGGTGAAAAGAGGCAGCGATGGGGAGACTGAGCTCCCTTCCCACCCATCCCGCCACCTAGAGGGACAGATATTCCGACCTTGCTACACACCTTGAGCGGCCTTCAACTGCCTCCCGTTCTCTCTCAAGCCGTGTGGCAGCCTTGCTGCCTCCCACCCTGTATCACACACTTCCTGCCTTTGGACCCAAGCGTGTCGACCAGCAATACCATCTGCATCGCAGCGCGGGGGAGTGCAGCGTGCAGACCCTAGTTGGCCCCTGGCCCCGCTGTAGTTGTTCTCACCTGTGGCCCGAGTGGCCCCGTGCCCGGCTATGTTGCTTCGGGACCGACCGAGGTGCACTCCCGAGACGCGCTTATAATCCCTGGGCTTCTCGATCAAACAGCGGCCTTCAGCTGCTCCTTCGACGACAGACTCGCTCGGCTGCATCCCGCCGCCGCCCCCCCCGCCCCTGGCACGTGCACTTCCTGCCTTAGGACCCAAGTGTGTGTGTACCAGCAATACCGTCCACATTGCAATCACGTGTTGCGTGTGGCCATAGTGGCCCCTGGCCCCGCTGTAGCTGTTTTCACCTTGCCAGGTTCGGCCTGGCCCGCAGCTCTGAGACTGACGCTTTGGTGGTTTTCGCCCCGTCATGCTCAGTCCTGCGCTTCTACTCCCTGGGCTTCCAAAGTTACTACGGCCTTCAGCCGCGCGTCTCTACCCTCCCTGGGAGCGACCCTGGGCTCGGACCCATCGTCCTTGGGTCTCGCGGTGCTCAGACAGTCCTTTGACGTGGGTCGCCCCGCCGTGTTGGCGGAATGCCCACCTGGTCCGCTTGCGCCGTCCTCTGACTGGGTCGCTGACGTGCTCCCGTACATTGCTGCTTACCGCGGTTGGCCGTGTTGTGCCACCCTGTGGATAGTGATGCACCGCTCCTGCGTGTGACGGGCGCTCTGTCTCCCCCCCATCGTCGCTCCCACGCGCAACCTGTTTGTGCGACCACCCCCTGGGACTCTGTGACTTTGAAGGACTTGCTGCTGTGGGTCTACGGCAGCGTCGTCTTCTACGAGCGCTCTTCTCTTACCTGGCGTTGCGTGGGTTGGGAGGCGCTGGTTGTCAATTAGTCGTTTCCTGGTACACGCCCACTCCCGATTGACCGTGTGTCTTTCGCCAGGTTGGGTGCATGTGTACTTCTGCACTGCGGCGCACCATATTTTTGGTCTCCTGCGTGCAGGCGCATCCCTCAGCAGCTGTTCCGAGGTTGCCCCAGTTGTTTTTGACTTCTGGCCCGCTTTGTCAGCCGTCGGGTGCATTTTCTGAAGCTGCGAAGGTTCGCTGGCGCTGTCAGAAATTCCCCCTCCTTGCTGGACGACGTCAGCTACGCCTTCGGTCCGCTCATACCCGACAGACACCCTGGGCTGACACCTTCTTCCACGGAGACTGGTTCCTTCCACCATGCGACCGTCGGTCCGACACGATCCATGACTGGGGACGTGCGGCGCGCCATTTTGGCCGCGTCCGCCTTGCTTCCTGGGCGACTGACCCCTCAGACTCCCTGGGTTGCAGCGTGCACTGCCGCCTGGCCTCTCAGACGCCCTGGGTTGCTGCTTGCACCGCCGCCTGATCCGCGGCCCCCGCGCGCGCCCGGGTAATTCGTCACGGCCGCAGCCCGACCGTGACCCCTCGCCGCCGGCGTTTCCGCCTGCGGCTGTAAAAAAAACAGCCCCACCAGCCCATCCAGGAACAGTGCCAGCGGAGCTGCACTTATCCGGGAAGCGTGGCATAACCGGGATACCTCAGGGAGCACCAGTGGGCCAGAGGCCATTTGAATGCTTCATTTGGTCTTTTGGGGTGATTCTTGGGGGCCTTTTAATGACCTCCAGGGGCGTCTTGGGGGGCATCTTGCGGGCTCTTGGAGGATTTATGGGAGAGTCTTAATTGTTTATTTGGGAAATCTTGTGGCCTCTTTGAGAGCCGCTTGGGCGCCTCTTCGGGACATTTTGGGGACCTCCTGGGGGCCCCTTGGGAGCCTCTTGGAGGTCTCTTGGGGCCTCTAGGGGGCCTTTGTGGGCCCTCTTGGGGCTATCTTGGAAGCTTTTCGAGCCTTCTTGGGGCCTCCTTGGAACCCAACGAGTTACAAAGGGGGCCGCCGTCAATTATCAGCAGAGGCCCAGATTGGCCCAAGAGCGAAGGCAACTCTATAGTTGTTTCTTTCTCGCTGAGGCCATCTTGGACGCTCTAACTGCTGGCGAACCCCCCATTTCCAGATCCAGGGGGAGGGGCCGCGGGCGGGATCAAACTACCCCAAACCGCAAGCCGTGCTGCTCGTTCCCACCCTCCCTCCCTTTAATTTCATAATAGCACCTGGGTCTCAGCACAGGAAAGGGCCGCCCGCCATCGACAACCATCGGGACTCAATGCAGACACCAGCCAGGTGCGCGATGCCCGCGAGGTGAGCCGCACGTGCCATGTGCTCCACGTGCACCAGGTGTGCCACATCGGGCGCCCCTGTCAAAAACCATGGAAAACGACGGCGGGTTTGCGAGCATTGTGCATTGTGCGTGGGGTTGTGCGCCCGCAACCACATCGCACTTGTCTTTGACAAGGATCGTAGGCCTGCGCACAGCAGACAGTATGCTGCCTCAGGTGACCTAGATCGGGCGTGCGGGCGGGAGTTGGCACAGTCGGTTCGGTGGCAGGGCGTCGCGGGGTCACCAGCACAGAGGTCTCTGGAGCGCGGCAGAGCGCATTGATACGAGCCCCCCACCCCACCTCTATGCTAGCGAGGTGGGGTGGGTGGGGGCGGCTGCCATGTTGCCGTCTTTTATCGTCCTCGCTGTCTCGTCCTCATCATCATTGAATTGATGATCCTCTTCGGTGCGCGCTGCTCCCAGCACTGCAATGCCCGAAATGGATATCGTCGTCATCGTCCTCCTTCTCTTTGCCCGTGCACTCCGCAGCATTGTCCCCCCCTTGTCCACCTCCCTCGCACCCTTCCTTGCCCGACCTCGCGAGGACCACGAGAACAGGCAGATGCGGATGATGAAGCTGCAGAAGGACTTCCAGGCAAACCAGGAGGCAGCTGAAGGGGCAGCCCCTACGCTGCCGTCGGAGCGTTTGTCATTCATGCCTCTCTCGCAGGGGGATGAGGCGGCGCAGCAGCAACAACAGCAGGATAATGACGAATATGCGGAGGAGTCGGAGGAGGAAGAGGAGGAGGCAAGTTGCCCGTTGACATCCTGGTTCACGGAAACACTTCTCCAAGTCATTGAGGGCATTCGGTCAACCTCGATGGACCACATGTAATCGGAATCACGTCGGAGGAACGGCTTCACAGGATCGGGACGTTTTTCACAGATACGGCTGCGAAAAATTAGATTTCCTCCCCTGTCTGCGAACCTGGCCAGGCTCGAAGAGGTCGATCGGAAAGTTAAACTCGCACTGCATGTTTCAGATGGATGCTGCTGTGCTGCTGGAGTTGCCCCCTTTTGAATCCAGAGGCACCCAGCATGTTCCTCCGCCGCCTCAGAAGTCGAAGCTGGTCATCGGCCGCTCGTGGAAGCACATGAGTTGATTCTTCCGGTGTGTCCTTTGCTTGAAGGGGTCAGTTGTTGCCAACAGTGTATTGGACCCTACCAAAAGGGTGTGTATGTCTTGGGCGCTCAAAACGTTAACCAGGGGCCTTCGATCATATGAGTCAGAAAGTGTGGGTGTTCCCATGTCAAGACATTTCCGTTCTATTATTGCGTCTGTCGTCTCATTACGTCTTGCAAGCTTCCGACTGCTTCTGGAACTTATCATGCCAGGAGGCGCAAGGAGGGTCCCAGCCCAGACAGAGATGAATGTCCCATTGCACTTGGACGAATTAGCTTCCCTGTTGCGACTCTTGCTTATTTGAGTGGCCTCCGGCCAGTGCCGCCGATCCGTGGCGCTCGTGCTTGTTTTTGGGGTATAGCCCCAAATGCTGATCACGGCGCTCACAAACGACGACGGTCACAACGCCCACGACGACGAACGACGAACGTCGATTGAAGAGCGATGCCGATTCCAGACGAGGATTGACGATAACAACGATGTCGACGACGACGATTGACGTCCAAGACGAACGAATAACGGCGAGCCAGGACCGACGACCGACGACGACCGACGACGAGGATGACGATGCCGAAGGACTAACGACGCACGACGAAAGGAGAACGGTCGGTGATGGCGGCGGCCCGCACGACGAAGCAACGACGGCCCACGACCGACGATGATGAAGACGATGACGACGCCCGACCGACGACTCACGACCGACGACACACGAATGCGTCCACGGCACCACGTCGTACGCACCACTCCCGCCCGACCGTCGTAGGAAGAAGTACGAGTGACGACGAAGAAGTACGACTTGGGCGAACAACCGACGACCGACTGAGACGACTCACGACCGACGACACACGAATGCGTCCACGTCGTAGGCACCACTCCCACGGCCGTTTCAGATGCTCCATTGTGGTTCGCTCTCGGGGCCGTCTTCGGGTCCTCTTGGGGCCATCTTGCCCGGGGGGTCTTGAGTGGGCCGCGAGGCGGCCCCAACCAGACAGAGTGCGGTTTTCAATGTGCTCTCTTCTCTGGCTTGCTCTCGGCGTCCTGCGGGGCCCTTGGGCCCTGTTGGAGCAGTCTTGGAAACCCGAGGCGCCGAGGGAGCTTGGGAAAGAGCTCCGGAACGGCCCAGCACGTAGGCAAGACTGGAGTATCTGAAAATGTCGCGTCAGATGTCCCAGTCTCACCCACGCCCACGGCGTGCATTTCTGCACGGACCCGCCCAGCGAAAACATTACCTGGGAGCAGTGTCGTGGCGACTGTGCCTCGGAAGACAAGCTCTTGGGAATGCGGTCCACAGGAGTGACAGCTCAGCGCGTGAACGCTTCAAGATAATGCGAGCCAGACAGGCGGAATCAATGCCACCATTGATGTTGTTTCTCTGAGGCGCGAGGGTACTGCACCAGTGATTCGCCGACGCCAGTCGCGCGGACATGTCGCCAATTCATTTGGTTTCAATCTCTGGGACACGGCAGCGACGCGCCAGCAGTAAGTTCGCGACGGGCGACCGAAAACATCACCAGCGACATGTTCAACCAAACTGCTTGCAGTGAGGTGACCCGCCTTTGCGTCGAAAAGCCGACTGCCAGGGCGGCTCGCAACTATGTATATCATAGATCACGCGGGGGGGCCCAACATATCCACTGGCACGTCGTAGTCCCTCGCCTGCGGTCGACCGCTGTCGCGAACCGGTGTAATTAAAATCGCATTCCCTTCTGTGTCGAGGAGGTTGCGTTAGGCGACTATCCACGGTAATCGCATGACATGTTTATGGCTGGACAAGCTTGAACATGACAACCAAAAGCACGCACGGAGATGGAGCTTCGTCCCTAAGCAGCTCAGGTTCAGCAGGGGTCTCGATTCCACGCTGAGACACCTGCCATCGCTCCGGGCCGCGCACGCCCCCCTCCGCCCATGCCATGAGAAATCTTAGCACTTGCGGCCGAGACGCACCGAGAGTCCAGACGCGGCGAGCGGACGGCCGCGGGGGGGCGGCAGTCGCTCCAACATGGACTTTTCGGGCTCGCCCGCCTCCCCGGGCCCCGAGGGCGCCCCCCAGAGGCTCCCGGGACACACCCGGGACACCCCTGGGACACTCCCGAGACACCCGGGACACTCCCGGGACAATATACATATATATATATATATATATATATATATAGATCATTATTATTATTAGTAGTAGTATTATTAGTAGTAGTATTATTATTGTTATTATTATTGTTATACTTATTTTATTAAAAATGAAGTCAAACGGAGAGCTGAAGGAGCAGCGGAGCTCCCTCGGGGCGTCTCGAAGCTAATCAGAGCCCCCCTGGGCCTCTTAGAACATTGTCCGGCGCCTTGGGGCCGTAAGCCGCAGCGGGGAGGTCTTACCTCGAGAGTATTAGGTCGGTTGGATTGGCCCAGCCCTGGGGGGGGCCTCGATTAAACTTGAGCCCGAGATTGCAACGCGCGCGCGCGCTTGCCTGCGCTTTTGCTGGTCGGGCCCGACAGGCCCGCTTCGCCGCGCGCGCGCGGCTGATGGCAGGTTGGAGGGTCGACGAGGCCACCCCCGAACAAGACATGCTTGACCGCGCCGCAGCTGAAGTTGGGAGTTGCTCCTGGGATTTTCCGGGCTGCGGGGCCGATGGCCCAGCTCATGATTCTTGAGACTGCCAACCGCACGAACAATTTGCGCCGACTCCATCCAGGCCGGAGTAGTTCAGCATGCTCGGCGACAAGCGTCGACCCTTTGGCCGGGTGGCTGCAGCGGGGGCGCGATTTCTCAATCTTTAGCGCCCCCGCGAAGATCCTCAGATACACGCCGGCGAGAGCCGCCAAGGCCATCGGCCTTTCGGCGTAATGGCAGGCCGTTTCAGCGCAAGTACTACTCACTTAGAAGTACCACTGGTAATTTTTACGGTTGACTGTTTGGCGCGGGAGAAATAGAGGAACCGCCAGCGCGCCATTGTCACTACTTGGAGAACGCAGCCGCACTAGTTCCATCGTTCTGCGTCTGATGCTAACGAATATTTGAAGCCGTGCTTTCACGCTTCAGGGAAATCAGTGCATCAATGGTTTCATGCTTTAGCCGCCCGGTAAATGCATGCATGGGATCGGTCGCGGACTGCGCCCACATGCCAGCGGAGCGCGTTAGCTATGGTTTCTCAAGAAGCAGCCCCTATCACGTGGTTCCCCTAATCGCGTCTTCACGTCCTTGTGGAAGGTGGCCCTTGCGAGATTGGGCGCCTCGCGTGAACGTGGAACCCATGCAACAGCAGTGGTTTCAGATGTTTCATGGTTGATTGCCTTAGTATGCTATCTGGGTTGTTTTGGTGCCGTTTCCAAAGCCTCAGTGAAGTTTGCCAGGGGTCTCCAGATGGCTCCGAAACGGCCCGGGAGAGGCCCCAGAGGATCCCGCGAGCGAGCCGGAGTGAAGCATCTGAGAGGGCAGTTTCAGAATTATTCCATTCTCGTTGACTCTTGAGGCCCGCTCGGGGCTTTCATGGGCCCCCCTGCGTGGCCCCTGGGGACTTCGAGGTCGTTCGAACGAGGGGAGACCCAAGACAGCCCCGACAGCAAACCGCAATGGGGCATCTGAGCATTTAAATGAATTCGATGAGGATTTCGCCAGATGCCAGGGGTTTGCAGACAGCGGCTCGGGCGGCAACAAAGGCGAGCGGCCGCGAGGAAACAGTGCCGAAGAGCCAACGGCTGGACCTGATAGGGGGCGAGCCCGCACGAGCCAGGAGGAGACGGAGTACCCCGGAAGCCCCAAGAAGAGCTGAAGGGGCCCACAGGGAAACCCCGAACGGGCCCCCAAGAGACTTCGGTAAATCGCATTTCCCAGAGTTTTCCGGGAACATGATTCGCTGGGCTTCCGCCCAGCGCCCCAACCATGTTTCCAATGGGCTTGCCGACGAGGCCAAAAAGGGCCCCTCGGCAAGCCCCCAGAGGCCCCCCTCTTAAGAAAGCCGAACAAATCATGCTCCCGGAAAACTTCCCATCGGCTTTTGATGGATTTGGAGTTCCCAGCCTTTGGCATCCCGACGCTCCAAGACGGCCCAATTGGCCCCCAAGACCGCTCCAAGATAGCCGAAGAGGCCTCCAAGAGGACCCCAAGACGGCCCACGAGGGCCCCAAGACGGTGCCCGAGGCGCCCAAGACGGCCCGAGAGGGCCCCAAGAGGGCCCCAAGAGAGCCCCAAGAAGGGGGACGCGAACCCAACAGCAAAGCTTTCCGCCCTAAGAGGCCCACAGGAGGCCCCAAGAGTCCCCAAGTGGTCCGACGAGGCCCCCCGAAACCCCCCACCATGCCCCAAAAGGTTCACAGGAGACGTGTACGGGGCCCCAAGATAGCCGAACAGTGCTCTCGATGCATCAAAATTGTTTCAAGGAGGCCCCGGGAGGCTTCCGGATTGCCCAAATGTGGCCTCAAGCCGGGCCTCCGCGCAGCCAAGACGGCCAATTGATTGCTTCAGACTGCAGAACATCACTTTCGCCCGGAGAACC